TTTAGTCTCTTTATACACTAAACTACACTGCACTACTTTACACTACACTGAATTACACTATTTTACACTACATTAAACTACACTGTACCACACTCCACTACACTGCACTATTGTGTACCGCCAACGGACTCGTTAACAAACTTCCGCCCGTCCACTTACAGTAATTGGTCACCACTTTAAGAGTTTTCCAAATGAAAAAACACAAAAGACATTTTCAAAGTTACTAAAATATACGTAAGATATACAGAAGACCAGTATATACTGTGCAGACACTATGTAAAGGTACCCTAGATATTATCAAAACATGAATAGATTAAAATTAAATTAAATAAATTAAAATATTACAATTATAGTCAAAGTCGTTTACACTTTAACTTAGGTGGAGACGGCAACCAAATTTGAAAAGATGGAAAGTGAATATGAATCTAGAAGTGGGCACACATAAGAAGGACACTAAAGGTGTGTTGCTTATAAAATACACATAAGAATTAAAAGAAATATTGTAACCTTTAAATACTTCATGCGTTTTACATTTTTTTCTCCTTTTATTATACTATTTATACTGAGTGAGTATTGCATAAATACTGTTGGTAAAGAAGTCAGCAGGTAATTGGCGACCTGCTTGACCTACTTTCCTGTCCTACGGAGCATGACTTTATTCGACTTTTCGTATACACCTGGATCTTTTAATCGCTCACGTGGTAACGTATTTAACCTATTTTATATATGCCCTTAATGTTTAATAAAAAATAAATAAATAAGTTCACAAAGAAATTACACTCTAAATGATTAGAGTAGGAAATTTAAAAAAAAAATTAATAGAATTTGACACAAACTTTTTAATGCAAATATACAATAATTATACAATAATATACTGAAAATATTAAGCTCATTTTGGTTACCTTTTTCCTTTAAAAATGGTTGATTTTTAGTAACATTGAAGAGAATAGATAAAATATTGTTATTAAATTCTTTTTCTATAATACATTCACACTATTTCTTTGAATTAGAATATAAAATAAACGGTTAAAACGTACGTTCGGAAGAAATATAATAGAGAGTACTTAAATATGATTTAATGAACGAGAAAGCGCAGTGAAACTCTACGTTATCTTTTGATTCATGATGGCATTAGCAACCTTCTGCACTCGAACTTACTACCATCCTCGAATCTCATAAAGCAAAAGGAAATTAAATATTAGACCCTTATTTCACTAAAAGATACTTACCGGTAACAGGAATATAAGATCCTTTTTCCACTAAGCGATCACTATTTTTACGAGCGATGCGCCAGTGAAAATGATACTCATATATCATTCGCGTAAAATTAGTCTTACTTTAATAAAACCTTTACCAATTATCTTAAAGTATTTATATTTCAAAACAACACAAACTCTCCTTTCATACCATATAAAATATTCATCAAATTCTAGCCGAGGAGTTAAAATATTTGCAAGGCATTACAAATGGCAAGGGCCGGTTATCACGCGGTATAACTTAGACAAGACAATTTAAGGTACAATTCCTTGGATGTATAATTCCGTAACAAAATATCTTTTAAATATTTGAAACCGACACAGACTACAATCTGAAATAACGCATAGACTATTGATTTATTTTTTAATTCTACCAGAATAATACAGAATATACATAGGTGTTCATCGACGGCTATAGATGTCTATAGCCGTCGATGAACACCTCGGTGATTCCACTGCTCGTTTGCATCCTTCTCTTGTAAAAAAAATACGTGGCAGCTAGTAAACAATATATTCTACGCACCGTTACACCTTTTTAAACATGAATTGAGATTGTAGCTCGTTTGAGACACGAACTTTCCAGGTTTTATATATAGAGGGAGTCCCAAGCGGCCGACAAATGTACCGAAATAAAGCCCCGAAAGTGTCCAATAAATAAGGCGTCACTATCCCTGCCTAAATGTCCGGGGATTAACAAAATGGATGTACATTTTAGACACGATTTTCTGATAACTATGCGTTTGTTAGCCATTTTTGTTTACTTGTATAACATCGTTGTTAACCAGGTAGTTTTAACCAATTTGTCAAAAAGGTAGCAGTCTGGAATAGCGCACACGTTATCTTTTATCTCAGCCTAATGTACAGTTCTCTTTGGGAAGAGTAGTTTTTGATTTACTATATTAATTAAGCATTTAATATGTTTCTTTAATTCTACGAGTGCGAAGTAAATAACAACAGCTTCTTATACTTTTATTATTCTAAATACGTCACTGAAGCCTTAAGGATTGTTGGCAAAAAAGTTCTTTTAATGGGGAATATAAAAACATACAAATAAAAAGATACGCTCTGTTGAGTGTTATATATCGAGAAGATAACACGATTGCTCGATAGTTCCAATTAAAAGCTTTTTTTTCAATGAAACAGAAATAAATTGGAATTTGAAAAGCGAAAAAAAAACATATCTAGCATTTAAAAAAAGCTTTTTTGTTGAACTAGAAAAGAGGAACATTTTTAATGTTTGCAACTAGTGTGTTTCGAATTAAACTGAAAAAAGTTATATAGAGAAAAAGACGCACGTAAAGACATTTCCTCTTCCTATTTCCTTCCGCTTCCTATCCGTTGCTTATAAGGAAAGGGATGAAATGGAAAGAGAACAAATATTAGACCGCCAGTACAATTCAAAAGTGTCATGCAAACTATACTCTTAGTTATTAGAAAACTATTCTTTTATGTCAATGATAGCTTGCTCTTAAAATACGATGTTTTAGTTTTTTTTTTTCGTTCAAATTCAATGAATCGTAATAAAATATAGCTTGAACTCCCTCTTAATGTTTCGCACTCGGCGTAAAGGCTGCGACTCTGCATACATAATCTTGGAAATGCGCTTTCATGAATAAAATTTATATTATTTTTATCGCCTCTTTTGAGTTATAAAGTCCTGGTACTTTTGCTATAATGACATTCAATATTTTTTCATTATTAACCGCGAAGTTCTAAAACATGTACAGAAACATTTACAATATGTTTTATACATGTGTTTTGGCAATGAAAACTCTAAATTAGACTAACAGTGTTTACAACACACTTTTATGTATGTGGCTACTAGCTGTCAACCGCGACTCCGTCCGCGCGGAATTAAAAAAATAATAGCCTGCGTTTAGGCTATGTTCTTCATCTATGCCAAATTTCATCAAGAGAAGTCGTTCTGGAGATACCTTCTAAAAAGCATCCATCCATCTAAATATTCGAATTTGTAATATTAGTAAAATTCACTTCTTAAAATTGTATTTAACCTAAAACGATTCATTTTAGAAAATACAAAGCCCATTTAAGCTTGTACTTTCTAACTTTAATTTATGACAAAATTTAGTGCGAAAGTTTCAAGCAGAACTATAGCGGTTTTATTTGTAGAGTAAAGATGAAAACAGCTGCGACCGAGAGAGTTGCTACAATATAGGTTTGTAATATTATTTATAATGAACGAAAAACAAAGAAAAGTAAAAGCTACATAAGCTTTTGACTTTTAAATCTGGCCGTTATCTAGCTGTCGCTCGCGACTCGGTCCGCGCGGAATAAAAAAAAAAACATTATTAGTACCCTATGTGTTCTTCCAGAATATGTTATATATGTATGCCAAATTTCATCAAGATCCGTTGAGCCAAGTTACCAAGTCAAGTGTGAGAATAATTTGTGAAGGGACATAAACGTTGATATTTTAATAAGGCTAGTGTTGCGTCGATACTTAACGACTCTGAGTAACGGCACTAAGATTGTAAAGTGTTAAATTTAGTAATTTAAAAGTATATATTAGGTTTCAAACAGCGTTAGTAAACTTGTTTTTATAGGCAGTACAATATCAAATAACATTCGAATAACACATTATTTGGGCAAAACGAAACGCAAACGCAAAACGACCGCGACATAGACGACAAAGGAACATTTTATTTGCACCATTTCTTGCTTATTTTCTTTCATATTGGAAATGGGCGGCGCCCGACTGTTTCATTACGTCTCCATATTGTACAAACAAACATTCTGTAACCTATTTTAATATATATAATTATATAATAGATAATTTGCTGGTATTTTTAAATCATTGACATTAAATTTAAACCTTCTAAGTAATTTAAAGCGTCAATAGCCTAATAGTTAAGGGTACGGATTTCCGATCACGGGGTCGGGGGTTCGAATCCCGCGATTCGACTTCTGTCGTAAACCATATCCTAGTACAAGCTTAGAGCTTAGTTGGAATGGTAAAGGAAATATTAGTAAATTTACTAAAAATCTGCTAATATTAAAAAAAAA